GGGAGGGCGCGGCGGTAGGGTTTGGGTTTTGTGGGGTGTGGCCGCACTTGGGGGGTTTGGGCTTGGTGTGGATTCAAATCGAGCCAATTCCAAACCCCCCAAGTGCGCCCATGCCCCACAACCAAGTTTTTTGTGGTTTTCGGAGAGGTTTCACCCGGGATTTCGTTGATTTTTTCTGTTGCATTGAAATGCTTGATCTATTTGTTTCAACTTTTTTCCTTCGTGTTTCTTTCTCTTACTTTTAGAGAATCCTCCCGTTCCTCAGGCATCCAACTTGTCCACCTATTCAATTAATCAAGTATGGTACTCATACAATTCGAAGTGGGATTTGTGTGAGAGCAGGAATTTGTCAATACACATATTTATAAGGTTGTCATTCCATTCATGTAAACAAATGCAAGTTCACACACTGTTCATATGTAGGCACATGCAACACTCATCACCTGAAAACATAAACACTGCAAATGCCAAGATATAATCGAAGAAAAACACAAATCAATGTAGCATGGATAATAGCAAAATACGTTTGACACGTCGTATCGAAAACCAGACACACTATGCAAAAAGTACCGACTAACAAGTTTATCTCTGAAGTATCGAACGAAACCATGTGTGAACTGCGCAAAACGTACCGACTAAAAAGTGGACTATAATACAACATCACCAAACACTATGCCGGTGATGGAGAACAAAAAAGTACAGTACACCAAGCCAGGCAAGAAAATGCAAGTCGGTAGACCGTCAACGATCGTCGTCCGCTTGCGAATCCCGCCTGGACCGATGCAAAGCTCGTTCGTGTGATCGACCAGTGCCACGTGGTCGGCCTCTATATCGCTGCTCGCCGCGTCCGGTAGTGAAAGGCTCGGGAGGGTCGTCGGGGTTGTCGTCCATAATAACTTTCCTGACTCTAGATGTCCCGGTACCTGCGGCTGTTAGATCATCATGTCGGTGGGAATCGCGATGCATAGGCAGACAATCTGCCCCTAAAGTCTCCCCTTCCTGGCGTCGATCTATGGGCACGTTTTGGACCTGTTTGACCCATGTAACAACCTCAGGCTCCTCTAAAATAATCGAAGCCTCTCTCAAACAATACGTCGACGACGGATTTGCTGCGCCTGCCGCGGCACCTGTTGTGCCCTCTCGTCTGCCAGACATGCCACCACTATCCCCGCCTCTACCGCCGAACCCCGATGCCACAACATCTCGACAACTCCCGCTCGTGGAACCCCCTTTCAAAACTGGCTGACGACCGGTGCTCGATGTCGTCACCCGTCTCGTCTCACTCCATGGCTGATCAATGCGACTGAACAACATGGTGTCCCGCGACTCCCGTGCATGGTCGGTAGTGTCTCTCCGTCTATGGGCAACTGACCTCGGGGTAAGACTGCCTCTCTGCTCGGCAACTACGCTCGGGGGTGACAATGGGCCTGCTCTGCCGTGAGAGGGCGCTGCGATAAAAGCTCCAGAAGGTAAGCTTGGGCGAGCTGGCCCCCAAGAGAAGTCCTGCACATGAGGCAGACGCCCCTCTGGCGCAGACCCCATGAAAATACGAGTGTCGATCTCTGTGTAATCCGTCCCGTCGTGCACCTCCAACTCCTCAACGATCATACAACCAAATGCGAGGGTGCCACGAGGCGTAGCCACATACCTCAACTGCGGCCTCTCCCGTGACGGTGCAGAAGGAGAGACCGGAGGTGCGCACATGCCCCTGCCTACACGCCGCTCTACGACCGGCACACGGCCATGTGCACGAGGCCCAAGATCCACCGGAAACGATGCCTGATGTGGCACCACCGGCCCCACAACCGTGCGAACCACCAAAATCTGCGGTGCCTCCTGTCTATCTCCGTCATGCCAGTCGATCACCTCCTCTCTGGGTATAATCTCGCTATTGACCTTTGCACGATGACCACCCCTAAACGTGGACACCGGATCAGCCTGAACTGACGCCTCCACCCCCCTAACATCAACGTCCCCCACTACATTCTCCTTCCCCCCGGTGGTCGGTGCTATCCCCTCTGGCTGTGCCGATGGCCGAACATCATGAGTGCCCACTGACTGACCACCGTCTGTATGTCCTCCAAACCTGGGGACATGTGCACGACACCCTCAACCAAACCTGTGGGAAGAGGCATGCCTGCGGCCTCATGCAAAGTGTCCTCGGGCCTCTGCTCGTCGCGAGGAGGCTGGTTAGGCGCCAGACGTGGGTCATCGGGGGGTGCGAACCCAGTCTCGTGCGACCCCTGCTCAACATCCCCTCCCATCCTCGACGCCTCGGTTGTAGCTGCCTCCCCCTGCGTCCCATCACGATCCCCTGTCGGCGGATCCATGTGGACAACTTTCTTTACGTCAAGGGGCATCGGCGTAAATGTCCCCAGCTGTCTCTGTCGCTCCTCAACCAGAAGACGGGCCAACTCCTGCGTCCTGGGGTCCCCTCGTGCCATGAGGCAAGCTCGATGACTGTCAAGCCTATCCAGCCTCTCTGCAGATGTCTCTCGAGGGGGTGTGGGATCCTCATCTCCCTCTGCCTCTGGTGGTGATGGCATCAACTCTCCACGCATGGCAGGGGAGAAACTCTCCGAGTGCAGGGCGCTGATTTGTCCCAAAAAGGCCTGCATGCCGACACTGATGTCCCCCCGAGACTCGCTTTCTCCAGGGGGCATTCCCAAATCAGCAAACTCACTAAAACCTCCTCCACCGCCCGCTGACATCCCCTCGTCACGAACACCCCTAAGAGGGTCCCCGTCAACTGCCGCAACAACCTCGGTACCGCATCTGCCTGCCTCCAACGCACCACCATCTCGACCTGTCAACCCCTCTTTATCTCCACCAGCCGCTAATCTCTCCTCTAATCGTCGTCTCGGGCCCTTCACCAATCTACGCAGGCCACCATTGGGGGGCGAGCCTCGGTGAAGCTCGTCCGACACAGGGGGAAGATCGGTGGAAGATGCCACGCCACTACGGACATGCGCACGGCGCTGGCCAGGGACGCCACCACCACAACCCGACTCTGCCCCCCTCAAAGGTACAGATCCATGCACTCTCTTCGTGTCGGCAAACTGTAGGCCAGGTGACGCAGACCTCTGTCGCTCAACAGGGCTCCCATAACTCCTCCTTGCCCTGCAAAATCACCTCCTCCGAATAAGGCATCCTTGCCAATTCGTCTACGGACGTCCTCTGGGTCGCTCCACTCATCAGCCTCCTGTGCGGCAGGAGTGGCAGTAGTGGGCCCTGCCCGCTCGTCCTCCTGCTCTTGACCCTCATAATCATTGTCGTCGTCTCGAGGGCACGAGCTCAATGTGGCAGCTCGAGTCCCAAAAACCTTTGCAACCTCACTTGGAGGAGCTCTCGACCCACACGGGTCTCGCTGCCACGAATGTATATGACTCTCCAGCTCCTGCTGCGTCCTGCTGTCGTCCGTCCCCTTCCACGAGGGGCGAGTCCCAATGCCTCCCTCGACGTCCAACAACGACTCGTCGAGAGTCCACAACAACGCAAACCCGCGGCCTGCCCGCTGATGAGAGAGAAGGCGGACGTTGGCTGAGATCTCAACCAACTTCGCAACCTTCTCAAACTCGAGCCGGTTATGCTTCTTCGTGTGTACATCCTCGTGGATGGGCCAATTCCTCTCTGCAGGAGAGGAACACGTCCGCATATACATGACACAAAGAGCAATGACCTGCAACCGCGGGGCGCACTGTCCCAACTTCGACCAGCAGCAACCAGCCTCGTACGTCTCCATGTTACCGGTGCACCTCTGTGCTTCTCTGTCTTCGTCCCTCCCCCCGCACACAATCCCCCCCCTCTGTGTGTGAAAGTCGTGCAGCTGCGCACATGCGGTCTCGTACTCGGGGCTCGCTACACTAAACCCTGTTTGCGACAGGATGTACACCTCTGCCTCCCTCACTAGGCTCGCGTCGTAGTCATTGACTACGCCCTCGTAGTACCTCAAGTCCCGCCGGCTAGGACGGAGAATGTGAGCAGCGGCGTGCGCCGGCTCCAACATGTGAGTCCACCGAGCTTGCACCTTCTGCACAACGAAGTGTGCAGAATCCGTCGGAAGTGCGCGAACCTCCCGTGCCACCTCGCGGTGTCGTACCAAATACCCTTACAAGGGTATTTGGCGTATTTTCTGCAAGTCACGCAAGTGCAGCCTGACCCATCTGGCAGCGCGCGCGTAATATTGACGGCGAGGTGCGACCATGCGCAGCCTGGGTGTGCACAGCGTCGCAGGCAGAGGGACGCGCCCTGCATCTAGTTTTTATTCACTATTATTCTTTTATGATTATCTATTTTACTGCTACGTCCGCATGTGCTGATAATCAGCTCTGAGGCCGACGCTGGGGCGCGGTGGCCGATACGGCAGTCGAGGACCTTGAGCAAGCCCATCGAGACTCCGGCGTGATTGGGGCGTTGATAAAATCCTACCCACGTCGGAGTACGGACCGAAGAGGTCAACGTGCGTGAGAGTTGTTGCGGGGTCCGTGGTCGTGGCATCCCTCCCTTCCCATTTGGAGAGCGTCGATAGTCTAAAGTGGAAGGGAATGGGGGAACATTTCGAGCGAGTTGTGGGGCTGCAGCCATAGGGGCTTTGAAACACCCGCGGACTCGTCCGCGGGTCCGATCTCGGATGGCGGACGCAGATGGGGCCGCGTCCGCGGCCGACCTGGTCCGCGCCTCAAGACCCGATTTTACCAGAATTTTCCTGAATTAAATAATAGGTTAAAAAAAAAAAAGGGGTTGTAGGGAATTTTAAGCCCTACAACCTCATATTTTTTTTTTGGGAATCCGACTTTGTTTAGAATTAAAAAAAAAATCAAAAACTAAATTCGATTTAAAAAAAAAATAAAAAAAAAATAAAGAAAAGCTGGATTTATCATGAGATATATGGTCCTTGAGTTCACCTGTATTTTTTAAGAAATGAATTTCTGTTTTTTGTATGGGTATGCGGTGTTTAAAAAAAAATGCAGATGCAAAATTTGAAAATAAATAGAGAAAAAACTTCAAGAAAGGGGTTTGATTGATTGATTGATTGATTGTGAGTGAGTGAGTGAGTGAGTGAGTGTGTGTGTGTGTGTGTGTGTGTGTGTGTGTTTGTGTTTGTGTGTGTGTGTGT